TGCAGTATTTGGAATTGAGTCAAGTACTGTACTGAGGTCTCTTTTTCCCTGTTGCAATAGTCCTGAGTAAAATCTGTTTTAACCACATTTTTACTGCTGTGCATCTCTGTTTTTTCGTTGACACCACAGTAGTGCTGGGCCTTCTCTAAGGAGCACTAAGCACAGCAGTTTAGAGTCCAACTGACCCACTCTGAATTCCCTAATTCACGTGTGTCCTTAGACATCTTTTTTTTGTTGTTGTTGTTTTTAACCTTTCTGGGCCTGTGTCCCATCAGTAAAAGTGGGAATAATGCCTCTGAGGGCTTTCTAAGGATTAACTGGGCTCACACCCAAAGCACATACCACAGTGCCTGGCACATAGCATGGGCTCTGTTTGCTCTGATTAGTGTAGGTATTATTGTTATTTCCTGTGTGCTAATTAGCTGGAGCCCAGGAAACAGTTTATAACAGGTTCATGTACGTTTGCTTGTTCTTTATTTCACTTGATTGCCCAGCTCACATTTCCTGAGGGGCTGGGAGTCTTGAAACAACAAAGAGCACTACCCTAGAATCAGGAATCAGTTCCTGGCTTTGCTCCTCTCACCTCCATGTGAGGCCTGCACCCTGCTCTGCCTTTCTCTGAGGGCTGTGGTAGGGAGCAAATGAAGTAATGCATGGGAAACCTCTCTGTGAACTTTAATACAACCATAAGGGATTATCATTGAAAGCGACGAGTCCCTCATTGATTAGGGCATTTCTTTAGGGGGAAAAATAACTTTTGGTCTTAAGTAGGATCCCCACGGGACGGAAGCTCCCAGCACCTCTGTGGAGAGGGGTTAAGTCTTTTAAGACTCCATTAGTGTCGTTGTTAATGGTGATAAAGCACCGGAATTGTTGCCATCATGGTTTCTGCCTTTATAATTGCATTCACCTCGAAAACCACAAGTAGCAGGAGGTCCCAAATGGTCACGATTTCATTTGAAAAACTAATTGAAGTTGAGAGAGCCCTCAGTGTTTGCTTCTGTGGTGACACGAGGAGGAAAGAGATGAGCAGGTGGGGCTGGGGGACGGAGTGGGCTGGGGGCTGGCCTGAGTGCGTCCCCTATTCAGCAGTCCCCTCCTTTGTTCCTTGGCAGGTTCTCAGCTGTCTGCCGCTCTTGATTGAAGTGAGCTTCCCGCCCTCAGTGGCCAGCCTTTTTTTTTCTTGAGGGGTCTTTTGTTTCTCCATTGTTCGTATTGTCTCCTCTGCCACAGTGGCCCCTTGCCGAGGCTTTTCCACGATTCACATCCTTTCTTGGAAGGTAAACTGGGCTTCCAGGGAGAGCAGGTGATCTAAACCCTGTGAAGCAGCGGCTGCCAACCGGTGGTCCGTGAGGTCCGAAAGGTTGGCGACCGCTGCTGTGAAGAACCAAGGCTTTCTATTCGGGTGCTGGCAGGGAAGTTCACAGGACTGTGTGTCCCCAGCTGGAAAATGATGCGGGTGGCATTGCTCATCTCTGAGTCCCCACCAACTAAAACCTGTGATTCTTCTACTTTTAATCAAACGTACATCCCATCATCCAGACTTTTCACATTTTTTAAAAAAAATATTTAATATACTTATAGTAAAATGTACAAATCTTAAGTGTGCAACTCAATGAATTTTTACTTCTAACGACACTGGTATAACATATTTTCCCCCTAGAAAGTTCACAGATTCTAATAAGAGGCAGGGTAGGACACCGTTATAACATATTGATCCACCTAGAAAGTTCAGATTCTAATAAGAGGCAGGGTAGGGTTGGTGATGTGTGGAAATATCTGGCCCAAGTGAAATGGTTCATAAATAGAAAAAGTTGAGTAATGATATTAGTGTAGGTAGCTAGATATTAATAAAAGAAGGGAACAATGGTAATCAAACATTATGAAACCTAATGATCTGGAAAGCTGAATCCAATATTGGGCCGGCTTCACTAGAGAGCTATACCCAGTCCCCAGGGCAGTTCCCTGCAGATTACTGGGGGGGGAGATAGAACTTTAATAAAGGGAAAAGTCCTCTGTTGGGCGCATGCCCAGTAGAAACCAAAATGGCCCAGGGGAGATGCTTCTAGGAGGCATGCACAGTAAAAGCCAGATGGCAACCACAGAGACCTGCCTGTGTAGCCTGGGAAAAGGATTGGATTGGATAAGGGACAAAGACTCCTGC